GTCCCTGTTGGCACCCCGCTGAGTATCCTCACTGGGGCAGGCACCCATCTGGCAACGCTTCCCAGTAATCATGGACTGAGCACCCCCCATGCCCACGGACGCACTAAAAACTGAGAGATTGTGAGAGGCATGACATCTGTTTCACTGGGAACTGGAATTGGGTATTTGTCCATGAGACAATGTATTGGAGTCACCGGCCAAATAAGGTGTGAAACAAAAAGGCAGATGGTATAAAAAACCAGTTCTCTGTATAAAATGAAGTTTTACCAAAACATTATTATTAACTCCAAGACAGTGCAATACTTCTCTGGGAACAGGCAACATCCATGAATGTTAGAAAAAGGGTGAGATATTGATAAAGGCCTTTCTAAGAGATACAGCTTCCACTATAAAAATATTTTCAAGACACAGTCAAGAAAGAGTATATGATTTGACAGGGAGAAAAGCAAAAGAGATGCTATTTTTGTCTCCTGAAAGACTGATTGTAATTACAACAGTTCGGAAAAAAGCAGATTACTGGCTCATCTCTTTTCACTCTGAAATATTTCCATCATTGTTTGACATTGTTTTTGATTCAGTAAAAATTCTGAAAAGGCCTCAGTCATGGTGGGTTTTAGGATTAGAAAAGGAAAGGCTATTTTCATTCAGCCTGTAGCTTATGGTAGGAGGAATTACCGAGTTCAGTATGCTGCTTGGGCAGATACGTAACCTGCTCACAGCTACTAACATATTCTGCTCCTTTTGGCACAAAGATCAATATCAGAAAATACCTTGGGTATGATCTTGAATTCAACATAGCACAAAACATAGTTTTTAATTAATTTTGTGCTCACATAACTCCTGTAGCTTCCTCCAGCATAAATATCAGACATAAAACTTTGGGCTGCTCTGTTTTCCATTGATTACCCATAGACTAGTGGGCCCCATTGTAACACTGTTATCTTAATTTGTCTTTTTTACGTTAGAACTTTAAGGTAGCCAGTGTCCTGAAAACCCTGCCTTTTGCTGCAGTAGCATAGAGCAGCTGCAGGGAACCAGGGAGGTGGACTGGTTGTTCTGATACTACTGCCACATTCAGTAATGATTAGACAAGCTGGTGAAGATCATTATTACAATTATATGAATGAAACTAGAGACTGAACTTGGTCAACTCAACTGAAGCACAGTCTTTTCTTGATGAAATGAACTGTTTATACCAGTATTTATATTAATTTCCTTTTTACACAGGACTTAAAATCTCTAACTGCTTTAAGATCTTTAAAAATGTTAATAAGACCTAGGATTCTGATGATTTTTTAATTTACCATAAGCTATACTAATGTTTTGTTTGCTGCTTATACCACACATGATGTCTTTGAAACAGAACAAACCCATATTTTTGGGTCAAAATAAAAAGAACATGAAAGAAAACGAGCCGTATTAGGATAACCCAGGCTTCCAGTTAGCGCAGTAGGTTAAACAGATGTTTACAAGAAAAAGAAACATGATTCTTCCCCTCTTATAACCTCTCTGCTTCCTAAAATTGACAATTACAATGTTCTGACCTACATGACTAGAGTGTTAAAAGCTGTCATCAGATCCCCTGCTTGTTAACTTACCCAATTCCTTTTTAACTTATTTTTTATACAAGATCATGTAATAGTGAACATAAGAATTTAATTATGCATTGCATGAAAAGGTACTATCCACTGCCAGATTTAAACTTGATACCAGAAAGAAGATTTCACTGGAGCTCATTTTGTTCCACATTCCCTGGTTTTGTATCCATCCTGATTTTGTAGACTTATTTCACAAGCCGTGGATTGGAGGAGTCCAATACAATGAATTAGAAGTCATTTAAATATTCTAAATCACATTAAAAAAAAATGTTGAGCTCTTTTGCTAGATAAGGTAACGCACCCAAGTTTGGCTTGAAAAAGAATCATAGACTCATAGAATCTTTTAGGTTGGAAAAGACCTTTAAGATCATCAGGTCCAACCACTAACCTAATGCTGCCAAGTCCACCACTAAACCATGTCCCTAAGCACCTTGTCCACCTGCCTCTTAAATACCTCCAGGAATGGTGACTCCACCACTTCCCTGGACCGCCCGTTCCAATGCCTGACAACCCCTTCAGGGAAGAAATCTTTCCTAATATCCACTCTAAACCCCCCCTGGTACAACTTGAGGTCATTTCCCCTTGTCCCAACACTTGTGACTTGTGAAAAGAGACCAACCCCCACCTCTCTGCACCCTCCTTTCAGGCAGTTGTAGGGAGTGATAAGGTCTCCCCTGAGCCTCCTCTTCTCCAGCTGAACACCCCCAGCTCCCTCAGCCCCTCCCCACAGGACTTGTGCTCCAGCCCCTTCTCCAGCTCCGTTCCCTTCTCTGGACATGCTCCAGCCCCTCAATGTCCTTTTGCAGTGAGGGGCCCAAAACTGAACACAGGATTAGAGGTACGGCCTCGAATAAAGAGATGAAAATGCATTAGACATTTAAAACTTGTAGAATAACTAGACGGTTCATATTTTAAAATCATAGAAAGAAGTTAACTCAAAGAAATTTGGGCATTATCTCATAAAATATTTACTGTGGCCTATTATCTTATAAACATTGCTTCTGAAGGAGAAGAAAGGAACTGGGGCCAGCAAGATGCTTCAGGTAAAATCACAACAGGATAAACCTTTTACCTGTGTAAAAACTCAGAAGCATTCTCTGTATTTGTTAAATTTTGTTAAAAAAGGCTTCCATGAACATCTCCTGGCCAAATTTAGAGGTATCACATGAAAAGCTATTCTTCCAATTTTGTCTTAGAATAAAGTGAAACAGTACCACTTGGCCACATGGTCACGAATGTTGCAAAGGTGCAACAGGCACACATAAGCCCATTCCTATCTGAATTTTAGCTTGATTTCCAACAGAAGAGTTCTCCTGGGGTTACTGCTGCTCTGTTTATCTGGAGTGAATTTCTTCCAGATAAAAAAAGCAATGCACGTTCTGTTAGACAGCATACACCACTTCTTTTTGAACACTGAAAGACTATATGGTAATGCAGATCCCTAAAATGCACATAAATATATGTGTACTCAAGCCCCTCATTTTACGTGTTGATGCTTTTTAACAGTGAACCCTTCTTCCCTTTATGCTCTTTCAAAAACAAGCCTATATTATCTCTTCCCAAAAAGCCTTGAAATTGTGGGATTTTTTTTTTTTACTAATAGACAAAGCAAATTTTAGCAAATACTAACATTAGAAAGTGTGCTCCCAAAAGGGTACAGTGGTCTTGGTCTGTAACTGTGCTATTTCCTAAACACTGAAACAAACACTGATGTGAGTGGTTGGAAGATTAATGTTACAGTGATGACAAAAATGGAAAAACAATCTGGGAAATCAAGAGGTAATTAAATTCTTGACAGATTCACTTGAAAAAAGACCATTAGTTATATGAATGAATTATTCCCCTGAGGCTTTGATATATACAGGAAATAGACATTTAACAAGTGATTTCATTGGCAATATAAAGCTTATTATCTCCCAAAATAAATGGCAACATTAATTTACAGGGTTGCAGAGAGTGGTCATTTCAAACTAAAAATGGAGTTCTGACTCCTGAAGAAAGGCAATGAGATGAGTAAGTCCTTTCACAATGCAATTTGTTATATATTTCATCCCAAGTTATCTGCATGTCCAAATAATGTGCAGAGGCACACTCTGATTCCATGTACCTTATAAACCTGGAAAACTGGTTTCACTCGGTGCAATTATCCTGCCTTTGCAATCAACTCAGGAAATGTTCTGTAGAGCGGTAATAGGGAAATATTTGCAAGTCTGAAATTATTTTGCTGGCATGTAGAGGCTTGGGACCCACTGCACTAGGAACAGCAAGTTCATAGCAAGAAGAACTTCTTACCCTGGTAAACCATCTAAGTTAAAGGCCAGAATAAAGTGGGATGAAGGAAGTAGTAGTATTCCCATTACAGTGGTAAACGAAGCAAGAAGAGATTAAGAATTTCAAACTAGGCAAAGGACAACAGGAACAGCAGGTGTGGGAGGGACCTGCTGAGCCATTTGGTTTTGACCCTTGCTAGCACCTACCGCTGAATCTGTCCTCTCGTCACCAGGTTTTGGCCCTGCCCTGTGTTTTCTGCAGCCAAACAGGACTTTTTGCTGACGGTTTCTGAAGCTCTCTGTCTTGGTTTGCTCACAGAAGCCCTCAGTTGTAAGTCCCAAGCATGCCAACTGGACTGTGTTCAAAAATAAATCCCTGCAAATGTAATTGTCAAGTATTTACTGCTCCACCAAATGCAAGCTACACTTCAGCAGAAAAATATAGCTCAACAGCCAGGACTGTGGGCATTTCTCATGCTATAACTCTTGCCAGCCAGCCAGCCAGCAGCGTATGGGATATCAGACATGAAGTTAGTGAGAACTGTTGACTGTTGGGCACAACAAAGTGATGCTGCAGAGCGGTAACAGCAGGAAGGCTGTTTTGTTCAGATAGCGCTGGGGGAAGGGTTCTCGCATATTTTGTGTTGGCTGTGCCTGCGTTGAAACACACCCATGTTCAATGTCTGTCACAACTGTCAAAGCAGAACATCCGAAACCTAAATTTTGCATCTGGGGCTCTTTAACATTCAACCTTTTGTTTGCGATTTAACAGCTTTTGCAGCCAGGGAATTTTCACTTCTTGCCCTGTTTCTTTAAACAATTATCCATCTGCATTGGTTTTTATCATCTTTTTTTCTCTATCCATCATTTAATTAAAATCACAGCTATCACAAAATACTCTTTATTTTCTTAATATCTTCCAATTAGGATGCGCTGTCAGTCAGTATTATTATAAAAAGAATATTTAATTATTTAGAAAATTATATCATAATATACTTCCGTCTATATTTTACTATACTCCAGGTCTTGGTTGAAACAATCTAAATATTCCCTATGTTGCTAAAATTTCCTTACTCTGAAGCACAGGAAACAATTGCAAACGCAATTTGAAAAGGTTTCGCTATTTACGTACCCCTTTTGCATCAATTACACCAGGTTTCGCATTGAATTTCACGGTCTTCAAACGTGCCCGCTCCTTTCTTTCAACTCTGGAGAAAACACAAATAAAGAAACAAATGTTGATTATAGCAGCATTTTGTACAAGATGTTAGATATCTGATCTCCCAAGACCATTGACGGCTTACTATGCATAACATGAGCATTAAAGCACAATTTGTAAATTGCAAAGTGAGAGACATCCATTATTTCCTCAGCTAAGCAACAATTTTCTGGCAAACGTGGGACTGGATTCAAGGAGCCTTGGCTGTCCTACACCAGCAGAACAGCACTCCCTCCCAACACACATATGATGGTGCATGTTAGTGACAGATTTACCCTCTCTAATTTAAGCTGCCTAAAAATTAGGCAACGTTTAGACTTCTGTCATCAGAGGAATGAAACAAGGACAGAAAGAGAATAAGCTGTTCACCTCAGTGCTTTCAGATGTGCAGTTTACAATGGAATACATTTCTCTCTGTGCAGGCACCTTTTTTTCTTCCTATAGAGGGAACTTTGATTTGCTAGCTTAGACGAATGATGAAACTAAAGATCATGAAAATAATTAAAACGGATCCCACCATTTTTTAATCTGTTTTCAACACACACCCACACCCACACCCACACCCCAACTTTGCCCCTGCCATGGTTTTAGAGTCATGAACTGCTTAAAAAAACACTTCAAAATACTTTAAAATTAGCTTAAAAAGCCTTATAAAACAGCATGTGACACACAATGCCCTAAACTCAGGGCAGCTAAAAGGTTGAAGTTTCACCTGATGAGATGTAAGACGTTACAGTTGTTGGAGAGTCTTGTTCCTTTTCCCCACCACTGCCCCATTTCCCATTGCCCACAGCTGTGCCCCTCATTGCTGCCTTCCCCCCTGAAAAAAAACTGAGTAATAAAAGTGAGTAGGTTGTATTGGTTTTAAAGATTTAATCAGCCAACTGAGATGGTCCAGCAGCTTGTCTGACAGGAGCAGAATGGAATAGTGGAAGGGGAAGCAGAGCAACTTTGACATCTCCAAGCAGATAGAATGCAAAGAATTTGTTTTTCTTGCTCATTTCAGTAAAGATGTCATTGTGAGTGGGTAAATTCTAGGTGCTGGTTTTAGTCAGGACAGAGTTAAATTTCTGGTATGAGGCTATGCTTTGGATTTGCCTTAAGAATAGTACTGATAAGGTGTTTTTTAGTTGGTGCTGGGGAATGCTTGCACCAATTCAAGGTCTTTTTCAGCTTCTGATACTGCAGCTGCGTTCCCAACGTTCTCGCTACAAACAGTGTTGGGGGGGCACAGTTCAGACAGCTGACCCAAACTGATCAAAGGAACATTTCAATCCATAGCATGTCATGCTCACTATAGGGAATCATTGAATGGTTTGTAGGTTGGAAGGGACCTTAAAGCCCATCTAGTTCCACCCCCCCTGCCATGGGCAGGGACACCTTCCACTAGACCAGGTTGCTCAAAGCCTCATCCAGCCTGGCCTTGGACACTTCCAGGGATGGGGCATCCACAGCTCCTCTGGGAAACCTGTTTCAGTGCTTCACCACCTTCTCTGTGAAGAATTTTTTCCTGATATCCAGTCTAAATCTACCCGCTTTCAAATTAAGCCCATTACTCCTTGTCCTGTCACTACAGGCAAAAAGTCCCCACCCTCGCAGCTTTCTTGTAGCCCCTTCACGTACTGGAAGGCTGCAATAAGGTCTCCCCAGAGCCTTCTCTTCTCCAGGCTGAACAAGCCCAACTCTCTCAGCCTGTCCCCATAGCAGAGGGGCTCCAGCCCCTGACAATCTTTGTGGCCTCCTCTGGACTCACTCCAGCATGTCAAGTCTGTTTAATACAAACGAATCTAGTCCATGTTCACCAAGACTGCCCCACAAGATGAACCAAAAGTGCTGAAAGAAGGACAAAAGGGATATTTTCTTTAAAATTTCAATCCTGATCTGAAAAACCAGAGCACACAGCTCCCGTGAGTCCATCTCCTGGGACTGGAGAGCCCAAACTGCAGTGTGGTATGACCCAAAATTTGGCTTAGTCTGTACAGTTCTGGTATTCATATATTTAAAGAAAGTTGAAACACTCCAATTAAAAGCCTCACAAGTTATTTCATCCTTATATCCATAGCTTCAATAAACACAGCTTGAGAAAGTAGCTGTTATAGTGTATATGTAATGCCTTCAGAGTGAGAAAATAGCAAGATCTGAAAAAATTCTCTTTGTGAGAGATACTCATAAAAAATCATTGGCTAGGAGCTGCTGCCAGACAAATTAATTCTAAAGCAAACACAGACAGTTTTACTTTTTAATGCCTAATGTATTTTGCCACCAAAATAATATAGAAGAGGAACAAAGGAGAGGACAAAGACAAGTTGCAGCTCTCGTGAAAAAGAAGTCACACAAAGCATTTATAAAGGACATCCATCTAGATAGTTCAGTGTTTCTGTTCCTAAATATTATGGATCAATATCCTTAATTCCCATTATTCAATGAGCCTTATTTTAAAAACATGTTAGGAAAACTTAAAATCTATTAGCATACTAGAAATATATGCAGCAAATATTTTACCTGCGGGGAAACTATATGCCTTTAGTATATTTGGAAAGTTCACCACTACTACAAGATTTACGTATGTTGCATATTTAACCTTTTAACACAATATGCTTAAATAATAATGCCAGGAATTTAAAAAGTAATCTAAAAAGGGGTGAGTTCACCCCTAAACAAAACCAGCCCTCAAGAAAACCAGATGCAGAGTGAGAAATCTAAAGAAAGCAAGAAGCTATTTATGTCCTTACTCATCATGACTAATATGGTCATTACTGTAAAAGTGACATTTACTACCTTTGCAAAATCTTCTACAGAATCAATCATCTACTGGCCCAAGCAAAAAAATCTGATCATCTACTATAATTGAAACAGTAACTCTATTTGTCTGAGATCAGGAATTGCTCTAGGAAATCTAAGCCAAATCCTGCAAAGCTGGCTTATAAGAGGTCGATGGTGCATTTTTATTAGAAAATAAATAGCTGGGGAAAAAGTGAGGTTTATTATATCCTCCAAGTCGGTCCAGATATGACCCTTTTTCTAACTTTCACAGTTCCCCACAAATGACAGTAGTATACATTCCTGCAAATCTTTCAGTTTCTAAATCTGGTTAGTAAGAATATCTTGTTTCTGATAATTTTTTTTTTTTTTTAATACAAACACTAGTGTTTTGATAGAATGATAATTAACACAACATGTTTCCTTCTGTCTGAGTGGGCTTATATATTTCCTACCGAAACACAGTGAATGCTCGTTACTATAGTTACAGTTTAAATTTAGAATAAATGCATTTCTCTGTAAGTGTGGAATATTCACATGGAAACAACTCAAATGCAGCTTTCAAATTAAATCTCTGTTATTAAAAACACATGAACAGTCTTAAACTTAAACTAGCAGATGAAGTCCCCTGACAGTACCCAGTAAGAAATGAAGGCTTAAGGCTGTGTAATTGCCTAAATAGGATGGATGCCTTCTGAGAAAATAATTAGCTCAAATGAACACAATATTCTACTTATTAATCTGTGTTAGCATTTAAACTCATTCCAATCCTGTCTAACTTCCTAAAACATCTGCTTTTAACTTCATTTCTTATTCACTGCATAAAGAAATTTGGAAATTAGCCCCGAAGAGTGGATCTTATTTATGAAATTCATCATAATTGCATTAGCAGCCATGAAGGCATCGCTGCTTTCTACAATCACAGCAAACAGATGAGGAGCTGCAGAAACATTCTGCATTGCTTTAAGAAGTATATAAATAACGTCATTAAGGGCCATTAATCCTCCAGCCAAACATACCAACAACGTTGCATGCTTGCTGATTCCTGCAAACATTTCATAATCTGGTACTCTACTAAGGATAGTACAGAGTGATGCCTCTCATTGCTGGATGAGGTTTTGAGCAACCTGGTCTAGTGGAAGGTGTCCCTGCCCATGGCAGGGGGGTTGGAACTAGATGATCTTTAAGGTCCCTTCCAACCCAAACCATTCTGTGATTCTATGATTCTATAATTACAATTTCCCTGACACTTTCCACAATAAAACTGTTCTCAGATACTTATAATTTAGCTGAACTGAAAACTTCCAAGTTGAAATTTCATGTGTCTTGGGGTGATTACATTACTGTTGCTGCCCAAAGTGTCAGTGAAATGGGTTAGCTGTTGGAGAAAGGCTAGGATAAAATAAACGGTTTTGCCCAGTTTATAATACACTCTTAAAGAAATGTAGCTCGGGTGCTCTGCTGCCTTCATGTCCTCGGTCTGGGACTTGAAATGTGGCAGTGGGTTGCTCTGGTGTCAGGAATATACCTCTCTTTTTCCTGAAGGAATGAACACAGTATCTGAAAACTCCATTTTTTACATGCTCTGGAGAAGTCTCTTAGAATTTGGCTTTGTTCTCCAAAGGTTTAGTCTTTGTTGAGGTGGTCAGGGTGCAGGACTGCAGTGAGCTAAGATGTTCCCATAATTTCACATCTGAGCTACGAGAACACTTTTGCCACAGACAGAGCTAAAAGGGGAACTAAAACGATGAAGATAAAAAGTATTGAATATCAGTTCTTTCATCATCATTGATCCAGCTTTTAGAAAATGTATTTTTAAAAGGAATACTATTTCAAGCACTTTTAGCACTCTTTTTTCTTCTTTTTTTTTTTTTTTCCCTTCGGGTTTGTAGTTGCTATTTTTAAGGAAAAATAAACTTGACGCCTTTTATATTTTTCCCTCACAAGAAAAAGGGAGTTTAGACACAACAGTTTTTTTGCAGCAGCTGACATGGTGAATGCCTACATAGCACAGGAGTGTAAATTCCTTGCGTTTCTTTAGCTGACAGAAAGCCTACCATCTCTTGGACAACATTTTGATCAATCATCTGAGGAAATTGCTTTTAAAGGAAAAAATGTTTCACTTCAAACGGTATCAATTTTTCATTCACCACTGCTGCACAAAGCAGGATTATGAGGGGTTGTGCAAAAAGATAAAGTGAAGGGGGAGGATTCCTATCTGCCAAATGA